TGGTTAATTTGTTATAGCAGCAAGAGAAAATTAATGAAGGGACACTTGAACTGAGTGTGATTTCAAATAAAGCCACTAAAATAGTTACATATAAGTTTTTGTATGAACATAACAAGTTTTCCATTTTACTTGGTCAAGTACCTAAGACGGGGATTGCTGGGTCGTAGCTGCATCCTCCCTGATACCACGTATGAGAATTCTGTTTGTCAATTTTGATTTAGCTATTCTCATATATGTGTAGTTCTGGTTTAATTTGCATTTCCTTAATAACTAATGATATTAAACATCTGTTATTGTGTTTATTTGCCATCTGTATATCTTCCTTAGTTAAACGAGTGTTAATTTTTTAACAAATTTTAAAAATAGGGTTTTTTGTTTTATTATTGTGATTTGGGAGTTTTTTTATATATTCTGGATACAGATCCTTTGTCAGATATGTGGCTGTCAAGTATTTTTTTTCACAATTTGGTTTATCTTTTATTTTCTCACCATCTCTTTAGAAGAGCAGATGTTTTTAATTTTGGTGAAATACAATTTACCAATTATTTTTATTTACAGATTATTCTTTTGGTGGAATCTTTGCTTAATTCAAGTTCACAAAGGTTTTTTCATTTATCTTCCTCTAGAAGTTTTACTTTACATTTTTTAGGTCTGTGATTATTTTTTAAAAATTGATTTTGGAGAGAGAGAATCATCTATCGGCTGCCTCCTGCACGTGCCTCATCAGAGAATCAAACCCACAGCCCGGGTATGTGTCTGACTGGGAATTGAACCTGCCACCTTTTTGGTGTACAGGCTGACACTCCAACCAACTGAGCCACACAGGCCAAGGCTGTGATTATTTTTAATTAATACTTGTATATGTGCAAGGGGTGGATTGAAAATTTATCCATATGGATATCCAATTGCACCAGATCATTTGTTCAATTCCAGTGAATTTCCTTTACACCTCTGTTGAAAATCCCATATATGTGTGGGTCTATTTCTGGACTCTATTCTGTTCCATTAATTTATATGTTTATCCTTTCTCCAATATTACAAGCTCTTGATTACTGTAGTTTTATAGTCTTGAAAGTTGTTAATGTGCAACCTTCAGCTTTGTTCTTTTTCAGAATTGTTTTGGCTACTCCAATTTCTTTTCCTGTCTCTTATTTTTAATAGTAGAAAGCTCATAAAATGATAGGCTGGCTTCATTCAGCCTCTATTTTTGCTCCCAGGAAAGTGGAGAGAATCAAGTTACACCTTTTGTCATGCTAGTTCGCTGGATTCTTTGCCAGCTAGCTGACTTGCTACTATGGGAAGAGTCTGGCTGGTTTGGTCCTATTTTTTTGTCCTTCTGTTCAGGTACCCTCCCAGTATTTTTCATTTGGACAAGAAATTGACTATCTTTATCTGTTTAGAAATATAATTTAAGCCTTTAGTAATTCACATGTGTAGTTATTCTTAAATTCTACAGATCTCCCCAGTATATTATTCTGATTTAAAAAACAAATTCATTGAGTTGTAGAAAAGATCAAGTGTGGAACTGCATTTGGGGTAAAAGAAAGACATTTGGACTAATTATGGTTTGTTTGAGTACTTAAATCCCAGAAATGGGTATAGGACTCTCTTATAATTCAAGGCTGAATTATAAATTAAGGTGCTTTAAGAAGGAGCATTGCAGATGGGAGAAGGGAATTAGAAAAATTAAAAAAGGAGGTTTTTTTTTTTTTTTCTTAATGGAAAGAAGTACAGAAAAAATCATTGCAAGATACTTAACTCAAATTAGATTTAGCCGTGTTCCTGCCCTTCCCCTTTCTTACTCTCTCCAGTTGTTATAAAATTCTTACATAGTTTTATACTGTTTAATAGAAATATTAAATTTTTTTTTTTCAATTTTCCTAACTCTGACACCTAGTTTGTCTCATCTGGGGGTAGATTTTTTTTTTCTTTTTTCATGAAATTAGGAAAAAAGACTTTGTATGTACATGTAGTTTTCTTATACTTTAAGACATTTCCTTTTTTGTATATATCTTACCTTTTGTGCTCTTTGATGGAAATCTTTAAGTTGTATTAGAGGACTCTGAATTTAGTATAAGAAAATCTTAGTTTCAAAATCTACATCTTGGAAAAATTAACTAGATTTTAAAATTCCAAACTATTTTCTGAAAATTTTTTCAACTTCAGATAGTGCTGATGTAAAATCCTCTACCTTTTCACTTTTCAGACACAAGGTGGTGTACTATGTCTACTGTCTGAAATTCTGATGAGTTTCTTTAACAGCATTAAACAGAACATTATAAAAGTTCACTTTGGGCACTAAAATAAATTCCTCATGAAAGCAGATAGTTTTTATAGAGGGATCCAGTTTTATTTGAAGGGAAACCAAGGGGCTTTCACAGAGAAAATAAAATAATGCATTTTGCTGCTTTTTTATTATAGATTTTTGGAAATAATTTTAGTCTTATTAAAATGTCACACAAATAATAAGAGTACAAGAAAAATCCATATACTCTTTACCTAGTTTTACCTATCATTAACATTTTATCCCATTTGCGTACCTTCTCTTTATATACGTGTTTTTTTTCTGAGATATTTGAGGCTGTTACATATATTGAGTCACTACCCCTTAGTACAACAATGTGCTTTTCCTAAGGATAGTGATTCTCTCTTTTTTTTTTTTTTAGATTTTTTTACGGATTTTTAGAGACAAAGAGAGGAAGTAGGAGAGAGAGAGGAACATCAATGTGAGAGTGAAGCATCGATGTGAGAATGAAACTTTGATGTGAGAGGGAAACATCAATTGGCTGCCTCCTGCCCAACCCCCACTAGGGATTGAGTTTGAAACCTGGCCATGTACCCTGACTGGAAATCGAACTGGCAACCTTTCAGTGCACAGGTTGATGCCCAACCAACTGAGCCACACCCACCAGGTCTCAATATTCTATTTTATATACAGTGTAACTTCAGTAAAGTCAACTTCAGTAATTTAACATTGATACAGTACTTTTATCCAATCTCCCATTGGTATTTTAATTTGTCACTTAGTAATGTTTTTACAGTGTTTTTCCCCCTCCAGTTCAGTAGTCTGAAGTCAAATGCAACATTTAATTGTCATGGCTCTTTAGCCTCCTTTATCCTGGAATGTTTCCACAGCCTCCCTCTGTCTTCTATATTTAATTTCCCTCCCCCTTTTAATAGAATGTTACTCATTTTCATTTAGGGTTTGTCTGATGATTCCTCATGTTATAGGTTATACATTCTCAGCTAGAATATTGCATGGATAACGTGACCTTCTTAGTGTATTTCATATGCTTATGTTCTGGTTTTTTTTGTTTGTTTGAAACCTCACCCGAGGATATTTTTCCATTTATCTTCAGATAGAGTGAGAGGTCGGGAGGTCGGGAGTGGGGGGAAGAGAGATAGAAACATCGATGTGAGAGACACACATCAATTGGTTGCCTCCCCCATGACCCCAACCAGGGCTGAGGACCGAGCCACAACCCAGGTACATGTCCTTGTCTCTAATTGAACCCGTGAGTCTGGTCCACAGGCCAACCCTCTAACCACTGAGCCAAACCAGCCAGGGCTCATGAAATGGTGATGTTACCTTATATTTTTGTTCAGAGCATTTTTTGTGAATTCAGTTGTGTATTTAGAAGCAGAATTCAGTGTCCATTGAGAATGGGTAAGGGCAAACAAACATTTTCTCTTACTTAGATTGATGCTTCCAGTAGGTGAACTTTAATTTGACGATAAGGCTTGAAGTAACACATTTTAACTTTATTCCTTGGAAAGCTTTTAATGTAGTATATTGGCATTCACTCTGCCCTGGGTTGCCAAGGAGTATTATTGATACCTTCCTTGGGATCTGCCAGTCATTCTGGCGAAAGAATAAAATCTGAGTAGGTTACATCAGACAGAAAGAAATACACAAAACAGAGCTGTCTCAATTGTAAATCTCTTAGATGATATAATTAATACAAAATTCAAATTATTTTGTAGTCTCTATTTGAGTTTGTGCTTGTAGAGTTTTAATATGGAAGAAATGTGTAAGTTCTAAGTACGTTGACCGAAAAGAATATTGTAAACTTCTCAACGAAATGGTCAGGTCTTTATCTTTTGGTTATTTAAGGAATTTGTTGTTACTAAGTGGATAGAAATAATTTTGTTAGTAGAAAAGTTTCCTAAATACTTTTAGTATGTTAGTTTTAGGGTGTGTATGTATAAAAAATCTCGAAAGGTAATGGACATTTTATTTTAAAGAAATAGTCATTTTGAATATTTGAAATTAATCAATTTGATTTTTGCAGAAAACTATTTGTAGTATCAATATTAAGATGGTATAATGCCCTCTAAGAAAGAACATTAGTTTAGTTTATAGCTCAGTTGCAGGACATGGTGAATCAAAACTTTTTAGGACATGATCTTACACTTTTTCTATTTAATTTGATTATATATATATATATAGATATAGATATATAGATATAGATATATAGATATATAGATATATATAGTAAAAGGCGAAAGATGCGATCTGAAGAGAAACCAGAGTATATATATAGTATCATATAAGTATGTATTTCCCATGTACTGTAGACATCAAAACATTTGAGATACAATATTAGATGAATATAAAATAATTTGAATTCCAAAGTGCCCATTAAATTTAACAGTTGAACTTGAAAAATTACTGGATTCATCTGTGACTTATTTCTCCCATTAGCTGCCGTGCAGGGTATTGGAAGGGAGAAAAAGTTATCTCCACATTCCTTTCAGGTTTGCCCCTTGATGTTACAAAGTAGTGTACTGCTTAAATTGGTAGTAGTTTAGAACTGCTATTTCTGACACTTGTATACATGTTTCTGAGATACCAGAGTGCACTAAATAGTACCCTGGGGGCTTAGAAGAATTCAGTGTGTCTTCCCAAGTGTCTAACTTAATTCTTAGACATGCAGCTGTAAATATTATTTTATTGAATGTAGTTTTAAAAACTGTTTTTACTTATTTTTATTCCTCAGACAAGACATCTGTATAGATTCTTCTTCATCCCTGAGAGAGAACAAGCAACCTGAAGGTTTGGAATTAAAGCAAGGTATGAATCAAGTACTTAATTTTTATATAACATTTACCTGAAGATTATAAGCATTTATCAATAATAAATTTTTACAGTATTTTAGTTTACTCCCATTTTACAGATAGGTGACAGAAAAATTTATTTGATCTAAGATCAAAAGAGGAAAGAATATACCCTTTATTTCATGCGTCCTTTAGCCACCAGAGTGGTTCTGCCTTGGTGATGTATAGTTACAGATACCACCAGAAAGTTGTCATCTTAAATAGTTATAATTTGGTAAGCTTTATTATATATCCTTAGCTCTGAGATATTAGAGATATGTTAACTGGGTTGCTTTGGGTTACATGTAGAAAAAAGTCTTATGGGATAACTTTCTCCTTTTTTTTGGTAAGTGCCCCTAGTAGGATCCAAACCCGGGACTCTCTGGTCCGCAGCCAACACTCCAAACCGGGCAGGGCAACTTTCTCTTTTTTTAAAGAGATATTTTCTCCTTGTTTACTTTCTTCCTTATTGTTTTCTATAAATTAGTAGTTTTTGACATTACCAGTTACCAGAAGTAAAGTGGCAATTTGTGATTTATTCAAGCCCAAGTAGATCAATAGGGCTAATCTTTTAGATGTATATTTTTTGTTTGATTCTTCTCACCCTATTTGGGAAAATTGAAAGAAACAAGTTTTTATTATTTACTCCTAAAACACATTTTTTCTTTTTCTGCTAAAATTACTTCAGAGCAGTGATAACCTGTTGCAGCCAAGAGTATTGTGTTATTACATAAGCAACTAATCTTTGATAACTTAGAATAGTTTCTTTAAAACTTGACTAATAGGAACTTATTTGATAGAGAGAAGCAGGTTATCAGTTTATTTAGGCAGAATTTTTTTTTAACTCTAGTCTGTTAATAATGCTTAGTTAACAGAGTGTTGGATAATTAATTTTGTGATTCATTCAAATTATGTATGGAGAAGACAAAGCCTAGATATTCTGTAATTCTAACTTATGTACTGTGAGGTTTAGAAATATTTTTGATGGCCCAGCTGGTGTGGCTTAGTGGTTGAGCGTCGACCCATGCACCAAAAGGTCCTGGTTCAGTTCCTGGTCAGGGCACATGCCCAGGTTGTGGGCCTAATCCCCAGTGGGGGGCATGAAGGAGGCGGGCATTCGATGTTCTCTCTCATCGATGTCTCTCTCTCTCTCCCCCTCTCCTTTCCTCTTTCTAAAATAAATACAGGAAAAAAAATTAAAAATAAATAAATATTTTTGATGGTCTTGAGAATGCCAGTGCTTTTAAAAGTTTCTGTTTTGTTAGACTCTTAAATAGCCAGACAATATTATATCTTTGTATTCTGACTAGTTCCTAGCACTCCCCACAGACATAAACTCAGATTCATGGTTTTCATTTACATTTATTTGTCATACATAATTAGTGCTTTGCACACATCATTTTTATAAAATGTAGTCATAGTCTTATAGCTATTGCACCATTTATATATATATAATTGGACAACATTGCTGTTGTTCTGCTTTTGTTTCTACTGTTTGCATCAAATGAGCAGGCATTGTGGAGGTTATGCTACTAGACCATCTGCGGAGGGAAGAATGCCATGTAAAGGACAGCAGAAAGCTCCTGCAGGCTGATTCTAGGGAAAGGGAATGGCGACCTCATTGTGCAAAGTAGCCAGTGCTGCCCTCTAAGGGAATACGTTTTCCTGCTCCCATGTGCAGGCACCTGGAGCTCTTTTAACTCCCTTCCCAGTGTCAGCAGCCTGTTTTGCTTTGATTTTCTTATGGTAACTTCAGGCATTTGAAACCCAGCCGTGGAGCCAAAGAGGGAGAGAAAAGGGACTTAAAGTAGCCAGATATCACAAAGCTTTTATGTGTAGGAGGTTTTATAGACCACTCTTCTGTGGTTCTCACAAAGGAGTCAGAACCATCAAGAACACACTGTCATCAATAAGAGATGGCAAGCAAAGGTGAGAAAACATGAGGTCACAGCACAGCGGTACCATTTTGAAGTACAAAGTTCATGTTGTGACTGCATCTTTAGGAAATGGTTAAATTGAGTTTCAACTCTTTTTTTGAAAGAAATCGGAGAAATAAGTAAAGTCTTTTAGAAAACTCTATAAAAATGTTTAAAATATAAAATGTTTTATTGCATAACGGGAAAAACATAAATTACCTAACTGATTCATTCAATTATGTAGAGCATGTTCCAGATAAATATTTATATAGCTGAAATCTAAACCAGCTAATAAGTAACTCGCTTGGAAATAGAAATTCTTGTAGGCTTAATAAAGATTATTGCCTTTTTTCTAAATGAATTAATGTATTTCTAATATGTAAAACTTTGAAAATTGATGTAATATTTTTTCTAACTTTTTTTGCATAGCTAGCTACTCTGCTCACAGTGAGCTCAATAAAAACAGAATATAATGCTCTTTGTGAAAGCATTGTCATTTTATTTAATGGCTTGGCCGCTTAAGCAAATTCATTGAAGCTTGCTTACTAAAGTAACCCTTTGTTCAGTAGACCAAAGTATAAAGCAGCATTGACTTTTCTCTTTGCTCTTTTACAATAAAATAAATCTTATTGTATGACCTATTAATGGTATATGATCCTGACAGGTTACTTAAATTAAGTTTTCAGTTTCTAAAATATTCAGATGTTGATAAGTATTAACTGTAAGTTACTTAAGTTGAAATTGGCATTTTTTTGTTTAGTACTATTTCATTCATCTTGGTTTAGGAAATAACATTTATGAAAGTAGTAGTGCTAATGATAAGTATCAGATTTTGGATTAATATCTGAAGATTTACCTTCCTTGTACAAACATTATTTAAATATAAATATCTACTGGTTGATTGATTGTTACTGAAGTAATAGAAATTCTTCTGTTGAGGTTATTTTCATTTTTAGTAAGGGGGCAGTTAAAGAAGAAACACTGGGTATAGTTTTGCTCTTTATCCTTAGTACAGCTGATTTGTGTGCACATGTGCCTGTACATATGCAACCTGAGATCTTATGTTCATTTCTAGAGGATTTCAAGGCTTGTACTATTGAAAAGATTGAGCTCAGCTTTTAAAATAATAATGGTTTATATAAAATTTCTAAATTAGTTATTTGTGCTATCATTAACAAAATGAAAACTATTTGTCAAAGGTATTAAATTTGTAGAAAATATTTTTAAGATATTAAAACTCTGTTAATATAAGTTTTTCAATATATTTATTTATAAATAAATTTGCTTAAGACATTCAGTAATATTGAAATAATGGTCTATATTTAAATTGTTGCTTTAAAGTTTACTATTGGGGGATGTGTGGAATCTTGAAAATTATTCTCCTTTGTAACTTCTAAGAATTAAGCTCTTGTCCTTCTTAGAAGTTGTTAGGATAAATATTTTTAACTATACCTAGGTTAAATATGGATATTTAGGTTGAAGATATGAGTTGAGGTCACTTGAAAATATTTGAAGGGCTGTCAAGTGGAAGGGTGATCTGGCTTGTTCTGTACTGCCTTCGAGAATAGAAGTAGGGCCGGCAGATAGTTATCAGTTGACTATTTATTTCAAATAATCACAGGTAACAGAAAATACAGTGGGCTGTCTTCTGAAATATGTTCCTTTTGCTGAAAGAGTTTGATCACAGGTTATAATAAATGGCCACTTGGTGACACTGTTGTAGAGCTGATTCCTGTAATGTTTGGCTGTTTGGCCTTTATCTTGAAGTTCCTTTCGAGCTGTCAGATTTTGTAAATACCAGTGCCTAGTGCAGTGTCTTCACTTGGTAAGAGTGCTTAATAACTGTGTTCTTAGATTATTTAATGGAAGCAGAATGAAATACACAATTTTTTTCTATCTCTACTTTTTTATCCTATTAGAGGAAAAGATATCTAGTCTTTAAGTTGTGTGATGGGTCATTGAAATGCATACATCTGAATATAACCATAAAAATAAATATATAACCATATAGTCTATAAAATGATCAAAATCAAAATGACATTTACTACATCTTACTCTAAATCTTTTACATTAGCTTTCTCAGGCAGAGTTTTGCTGTGGTTAGGCTCAAATTTTGCTACCATTTTTTTTCTGTTCAAGTAACATTGGTTTATAACAGCAATTTTCAACCTTTTTCATTTTGTGACAGACATAAACTAATTACTAAAATTCTGCAGCACACCAAAAAATACATTTTTTGGTCCATTTGACAAAAAAATAAAAAAGGTATAATTTTGATTCATTCACACCAGATGGCTATTGTTGTATTATTGTCTTTTTTTTTTTTTATTCTCCCTTGAGAACATTTTTGCATTTATCTTCAGACAGAGAGGGAGGGAGGGAGGGAGCGAAGAAGGGAGGGAGGGAGGGACAGAGAGAGAGAGAAACATCAATGTGAGAGAGACTCATTGAGTGGTTGCCACCCACACGACCCCAACCCAGGCAGGGGACAAACTGCAACTGAGGTACGTGCCCTTAGCAGGAACCGAACTCGGGTTTCTCTGGTCCGCAGGCCAATGCTCTAACCACTGAACCATTGTCGTTTTTTCTTTTACTTGACAATCTAAGGGAAAAGAGGTCAGTGTCCGTTACTAAATAGTCAGGTATTGCATGTTTTAAAAATTCTTGTGGCATACCGGTTGAAAATCTCTGGTTTATAACATTATATAAGTTTCAAGTGTACAAGTATTATAATTTATCTTGTTTTGGGGTTTTGTTGTTGTTGTTGTTGTTTTTCATGTAGTTGTCTTGCCCTGGCTGGTTTGGTTCAGTGGTTGGAGCATTGACACAAGGACCGAAGGGCTGTGGGTTCAATTCCTAGTCAAAGGCACATGCCTGGGTTGTAGGTTTGATCCCCAGCCCAGTCCTGGTCCTACAGGAGGCCGCAGGTTGAGACACATAGATGTTTCTCTCTTTCCCTTCTTCCCTTCCACTCTTTCTTAAAAAAATATATATATATCCTTGGGTAAGGATTAACCAAAATAATAATAATGATGAAATAAAATAAAATGTAGTTGCCTTA